AGACCGCGAAGGCCGGGTCCTCAGAAGGATGCAGCCCATGAATTTGGACACGACCTATGTCACACAAATCCCGCCAACGATTCCTTAGAAACCAGTGAATCAAGTACTGAAGCAGTGACCTGACAAATGAAGTTTCGGACACCACTGATCAAAAGCCTCGGCACAGTGTTTCTGAAGGAGTGAGTGTGAAGGAGTGAGTGTGAAGGAGTGGCACTTAGGTGCTCTTCTTTCTTCTCTCAGTATTACTATATCTTTGAATTGATAAAGATAGGATGCACTCGAGCACAGAGGCTTCCCTGCTCAGCAACAGATTTTTATGTATCTTCATTAGTTAAAATGAGTATATGGGAATGCAGAGATGTGAAAAATGTTGGAAGTTACAGTCCATCTGAACTGTGTGTTTTGTTTTCTAAATTCCTCTTGTGTGGCCCCTGAGGGAGGATCAGTTTGCCTTGAGAGACCCTGCCTGTGACATCATAGCTCTAGGGTTAATCGGGTGCACAAACCTGTTCACCACAATACTGTGGCGATTCATAGAGAAGCATTATGATACTTCTGATGCGTATCTCAGTCAATAAACACATTATCCCACAACTATGGTATGACCGATCCTGCTTTGAATTCAGCTAATCTAGTTTCCACAAAGTGTTTTAAAACATTATGGTGGAAACGAGATGGCAGCGGTATGTGTGGCTGCTCGTCTGTCACTGCCAAGTTTGTTCCTGTTTTTATTATTTCTAACTTATGTCATCCATGAAAGACACACACTGGATCTTGTCTTGTCATAGGGTCTGCCTGTCACTAACTTAGAGATTTGTGACTGTGCACTCTCAGATACTGTGGCGATTCATAGAGAAGCCCATCTGGTTTTACACATGCTGCAGTTAAATCTCAGCTGCTGCTCGGCGCTGTCGGGTTATTAACCCCTCCACTGCCGTGCAGTTTTCTGCTGCTTTTAATCAGCTTGGTGGCCCTTCTGACTTTGTCTCCTCTGACACAGAAGAGCTTAATTCCTGGTTTTATTCTTGGTTGGTTTAGGTCTTATTTGTCAGATCGAGCCTTCTCTGTCAGCTTACTCAGTTCTGAATCATCTTCTGCTTCCCTGTCATGTGGCATCCCACAGGGCTCAATTTTAGGGCCACTGCTGTTTTTACTTTATTTATTGCCTCTAGGTTTCATCC